ACAGTGTAAAAGTGTTCCTTTTTCTCCACATCCTCTCCAGCATCTGTTGTCTCCAGATTTTTTAATGATCGCCATTCTAACTGGCGTGAGATGGTATCTCAATGTGGTTTTGATTTGCATCTCTCTGATGACCAGTGACGATGAGCATTTTTTCATATGATTGTTGGCCTCATATATGTCTTCTTTTGTAAAGTGTCTGTTCATGTCCTTTGGCCACTTTTGAATGGGCTTGTTTTTTTCCTGTAAATCTGTTTGAGTTCTTTGTAAATTCTGGATATCAGCCATTTGTCAGATGGGTAAACTGCAAACATTTTTTCCCATTCTGTTGGTTGCTGATTCACTCTAGTGACTGTTTCTTTTGCCGTGCAGAAGCTGTGGAGTTTCATTAGGTCCCATTTGTCTATTTTGGCTTTTGTTGCCAATGCTTTTGGTGTTTTGTTCATGAAGTCCTTGCCTACTCCTATGTCCTGGATAGTTTTGCCTAGATTTCCTTCTAGGGTTTTTATGGTGCCAGGTCTTATGTTTAAGTCTTTAATCCATCTGGAGTTAATTTTAGTGTAAGGTGTCAGGAAGGGGTCCAGTTTCTGCTTTCTGCACATGGCTAGCCAGTTTTCCCAACACCATTTGTTAAACAGGGAATCCTTTCCCCATTGCTTGTTTTTGTCAGGTTTATCCAAGATTGTATAGTTGTAGATATGTTGTGTTGCCTCCGGTGCCTCTGTTTTGTTCCATTGGTCTATATCTCTGTTTTGGTACCAGTACCATGCTGTTTTGATTACTGTAGCCTTGTAGTATAGTTTGAAATCCAGTAGTGTGATTCCCCCCACTGTGTTCTTTTTGCTTAGAATTGACTTGGCTATGCGGGCTCTCTTTCGGTTCCATATGAAGTTCATGGTGTTTTTTTCCAGTTCTGTGAAGAAAGTCAATGGTAGCTTGATGGGGATAGCGTTGAGTCTGTAAATTACTTTGGGCAGTATAGCCATTTTCACAATATTAATTCTTCCTAACCATGAACATGGAATGTTTCTCCATCTGTTTGTATCCTCTCTGATTTCGTTGAGCAGTGGTTTGTAGTTCTCCTTGAAGAGGTCCCTTACGTTCCTTGTGAGTTGTATTCCAAGGTATTTTATTCTTTTTGTAGCAATTGTGAATGGCAGTTCGTTCTTGATTTGGCTTTCTTTTAGTCTGTTATTGGTGTAGACGAATGCTTGTGATTTTTGCACATTTATTTTATATCCTGAGACTTTGCTGAAGTTGCTTATGAGTTTCAGGAGTTTTTGGGCTGAGGCAATGGGGTCTTCTAGGTATACTATCATGTCGTCTGAAAATAGAGACAATTTGGCTTCCTCCTTTCCTATTTGAATACCCTTTATTTCTTTTTCTTGCCTGATTGCTCTGGCTAGGACTTCCAGTACTATATTGAATAGGAGTGTGAAAGAGGGCATCCTTGTCTAGTGCCAGATTTCAAAGGGAATGCTTCCAGTTTTTGCCCATTCAGTATGATATTGGCTGTTGATTTGTCATAAATAGCTTTTATTACTTTGAGATACGTTCCATCGATACCGAGTTTATTGAGGGTTTTTAGCATAAAGGGCTGTTGAATTTTGTCAAATGCCTTCTCTGCATCAATTGAGATAATCATGTGGTTTTTGTTTTTGGTTCTGTTTATGTGGTGAATTACGTTGGTAGACTTGCGTATGTTGAACCAGCCTTGCATCCCGAGGATGAATCCTACTTCATCATGATGAATAAGTTTTTTGATTTGCTGTTGCAATCGGCTTGCCAATATTTTATTGAAGATTTTTGCATCTATGTTCATCATGGATATTGGCCTGAAGTTTTCTTTTCTTGTTGGGTCTCTGCCGGGTTTTGGTATCAGAATGATGTTGGTCTCGTAAAATGATTTGGGAAGGATTCCCTTTTTTTGGATTGTTTAAAATAGTTTTAGAAGGAATGGTACCAGCTCCTCTTTGTGTGTCTGGTAGAATTCGGCTGTGAACCCATCTGGACCTGGGCTTTTTTTGAGTGGTAGGCTCTTAATTGCTGCCTCGACTTCTGACCTTGTTATTGGTCTATTCATAGTTTTGGCTTCCTCCTGGTTTAGGCTTGGGAGGACACAGAAGTCCAGGAATTTATCCATTTCTTCCAGGTTTACTAGTTTATGTGCATAGAGTTGTTTGTAATAGTCTCTGATGATGGTTTGAATTTCTGTGGAATCTGTGGTGATTTCCCCTTTATCATTTTTTATTGCATCTATTTGGTTGTTCTCTCTTTTCTTTTTAATCAATCTGGCTAGTGGTCTGTCTATTTTGTTGATCTTTTCAAAAAACCAGCTCTTGGATTTATTGATTTTTTGAAGGGTTTTTCCTGTCTCAATCCCCTTCAGTTCAGCTCTGATCTTAGTTATTTCTTGTCTTCTGCTGTGTTTTGAGTTTTTTTGATCTTGCTCCTCTAGCTCTTTCCATTTTGATGATAGGGTGTCAATTTTGGATCTCTCCATTTTCCTCATATGGGCACTTATTGCTATATACTTTCCTCTAGAGACTGCTTTAAATGTGTCCCAGAGGTTCTGGCATGTTGTGTCTTTGTTCTCATTGGTTTCGAAGAACTTCTTTATTTCTGCCTTCATTTCATTGTTTACCCAGTCAACATTCAAGAGCCAGTTGTTCAGTTTCCATGAAGCTGTGCGGTTCTGGGTTGGTTTCTGTATTCTGAGTTCTAACTTGATTGCACTATGGTCTGAGAGGCTGTTTGTTATGATTTCAGTTGTTTTGCATTTGTTGAGCAGTGCTTTACTTCCAATTATGTGGTCAATTTTAGAGTAGGTGTGATGTGGTGCTGAGAAGAATGTATATTCTGTGGATTTGGGGTGGAGAGTTCTGTAAATGTCTATCAGGTTTACTTGCTCCAGGTCTGAGTTCAAGCCCCGGATATCCTTGTTGATTTTCTGTCTGGTTGATCTGTCTAATATTGACAGCGGAGTGTTAAAGTCTCCCACTATTATTGTGTGGGAGTCTAAGTCTCTTTGTAAGTCATTAAGAACTTGCCTTATGTATCTGGGTGCTCCTGCCTTGGGTCCATATATTTTCAGGATCGTTAGCTCTTCTTGTTGTATCAATCCTTTTACCATTATGTAATGTCCTTCTTTGTCTCTTTTGATCTTTGTTGCTTTAAAGTCTATTTTATCAGAGATGAGAATTGCAACTCCTGCTTTTTTTCTGCTCTCCATTTGCTTGGTAAATCTTCCTCCATCCCTTTATTTTGAGGCTTTGTGTATCCTTGCATGTGAGATGGGTTTCCTGGATACAGCACACTGAAGGGTTTTAGATTTTTATCCAATTTGCCAGTCTGTGTCTTTTGATTGGTGCATTTAGTCCATTTACATTTAGGGTTAATATTGTTATGTGTGAATTTGATACTGCCATTTTGATGCTAAGTGGCTGTTTTGCCTGTTAGTTGTTGTAGATTCTTCATTATGTTGATGTTCTTTAGCATTTAGTGTGATTTTGGAATGGCTGGTACTGGTTGTTCCTTTCTATGTGTAGTGCCTCTTTTAGGAGCTCTTGTAAAGCAGGCCTGGTGGTGACAAAATCTCTGAGTACTTGCTTGTTTGCAAAGGATTTTATTTTTCCTTCACTTCTGAACTCAGTTTTGCTGGATATGAAATTCTGGGTTGAAAGTTCTCTTCTTTAAGAATGTTGAATATTGGCCCCCCACTCTCTTCTGGCTTGTAGTGTTTCTGCCGAGAGATCTGCTGTGAGTCTGATGGGCTTCCCTTTGTGGGTGACCCGACCTTTCTCTCTGGCTGCCCTTAGTATTTTCTCCTTTATTTCAACCTTGTTGAATCTGACGATTATGTGCGTTGGGGTTGCTCTTCTTGCGGAATATCTTTGTGGTGTTCTCTGTATTTCCTGCATTTGAGTGTTGGCCTGTCTTGCTAGGTGGGGGAAATTTTCCTGGATGATGTCCTGAAGAGTATTTTCCAGCTTGGATTCATTCTCTTCATCACATTCTGGTACACCTATCAAACGTAGGTTAGGTCTTTTCACATAGTCCCACATTTCTTGGAGACTTTGTTCATTCCTTTTTGCGCTTTTTTCTCTGATCTTGGTTTCTCGTTTTATTTCATTGAGTTGGTCTTCGACTTCAGATATTCTTTCTTCTGCTTGGTCAATTCGGCTATTGAAACTTGTGCATGCTTCACGAAGTTCTCGTATTGTGTTTTTTAGCTCCTTTAATTCATTCATATTCCTCTCTAAGTTATCCATTCTTGTTATCATTTCCTCATATCTTTTTTCAAGTTCCTTAGTTTCTTTGCATTGATTTAATACATGTTCTTTTAGCTCACAAAAGTTTCTCATTACCCACCTTCTGAAGTCTAATTCCGTCATTTCGTCACAGTCATTCTCCATCCAGCTTTGCTCCCTTGCTGGTGAGGAGTTTTGGTCCTTTCTAGGAGGTGAGGTGTTCTGGTTTCGGGTGTTTTCCTCCTTTTTTCACTGGTTTCTTCCCATCTTTGTGGATTTATCCGCTTATCATCTGCGTAGTTTCTGACTTTTCGATTGGGTCTCTGAGTGGACACCCAGATTGTTGATGATGGAGTATTTCTGTTACTTGGTTTTCCTTCTACCAGTCTAGCTCCTTCGCTGTACGACTGCTGAGGTCCACTCCAGGCCCTGCTTGTCTGGGGTGCACCTCTAGCAGCTGTGGCACAGCGAGGGATGCTACCAGTTTCTTTTTCTGCTATCTTTGTCCCAGGATGATGCCTGCCAAATGTCAGTCTTTTGGATATAGAGGGGTCAGGGAGCTGCTTGAGGAGACAGTCTGTACTTTATAGGAGCTCAATTGCTGAGCTGTGCGCTCTGTTGTTCATTCAGGGCTGTTAGGCTGCTATGTTTGATTCTGCTGCAACAGAGCTCATTAAAAAAACTTTTTTTTTCTCAAATGCTCTGTGTTGATGGGTTTGGGCTTTATTTTTGGATGTCCGTTGAGGTGTCCTGCCCAGCTAGGAGGCAGACTAGCCACTGTTTGCCTGCCGAGGCTCCGCCCTGCTGTTGTGAGGTTCGACCTGTTGGGGCAGGCTCTCCTGTTCTGCTGTGGTCTCCGCCACGCCCTGTGGTGGAGTCTTTGCTGTAGTGGGTTGCCTCGGCAACGGCAGGCTGCCTCAGCAGTGGGCATGTATCTCAGTAGGGACGGGTTGCCTCGGCAATGGCAGGCTGCGTCAGCAGTGGGCGTGTATCTCAGTAGGGACGGGTTGCCTCGGCAACGGCTGTCTGCCTCAGCAATGGGCATGTATCTCAGTTGGGGCGGGTTGCCTCGGTAATGGTGGACGCCCCTCCCCCACAGAGCATCTTAGACCGTCTACTCGGGATCATTTGAAATCGCAGTTTTGTTCGTCCCACTGGGCTATCCCAAACGCTCTGTCCCTGCAATCCCCTGGGCTGGCCCACTGTCCAAGTTTCATTCAGTCTCAAGTCCAGACCTCTCAAGTCTCAGGTTGCCGGTTCAACAGGGCACCCGGACAAGTGCGCCCTTGGAGAGTGCTGGGTAGGGCCGGCTGCCGCCACCCCGGCTGCCGGCTTCACCAGGCAGAGGTACTGGCTGGCATCCCACGTCTCCTTTATACTTGGGAATTTCCCCGTTCTGTGGGCAACAGAGATCAGTCTGGAAATGCAGCTCCGACTCACCTCTCCGTGGATTCAACGAGAGCTCCAATCCTGTGTTGGTCTCACAGCGCCATCTTGAGTCCTCCCCCGACTATTTTTTTCTTACACTATAGAAGCTAAAATCATTATATTGTTCTTACACTATAAGAGCTAAGGTTGTCTGTTTACATCAACTTTGATACAAGTGATCATTGTCTAAATACTTATTTAATAGATGTTTATTTAAAAAGAAAAAGAAAAAATAGAGATGTTTATTAAGTGACTACTATGTCCCAGGCATGATTCTAGGTGCTTGGGATATGAGTGAGTTAAACAGAGAAAAATTACTGACTTCATTAGGCTTACATTTTAGCAGCGAGAGAGAGAGAAAGAAATACATTAGAAACATAATAAATAGGTATATGCTATAGTATTTCAGATGGTAATGAATGCTACATAAAAGAAAATGAAAGTAGCATAAAAGCAGTCAGATGTGCCTAATGAAAATTAGCTGAAATCAACCCCAGTAGTACCATAGGTAGTTTTTTTTTTTTTGGTTAAACAGACCCTTTTGGTCTTAAAGCTTGAACCTTACATTTGTTTCATCCAAGTTCTTTCCTCAGAAAATGACCTTCAGACCTAAAAAAAAAAACAAAAACAAAAAACAAATAATTACCAGGTTACCACACCCAGACAATGAGATGCCTGACTCCTCATTCCTCATAATTGCTTCCTTGCCTCTCCCCTAGCCTGGTTTCTTATACATTGTTACATTTCCTCGCTGCTGTTTAAACCCCTAGTTTTAGTCAATCAGGGAGACAGATTTGAGACTGAATTCCCATGTCCTCCCTGCAGTACCCAAGTAAACTTTCTTCTTCAGCTACACTCATCGTCTCAGTGATTGGCTTTCTGTGCTGCCAGCAGCAAGACCTAGAAAAAACTGCTGGTGTTTCGGTAACAATAAATGTTGCATAGAAAGGAAAATGAGAATAAGCTAAAGGCAGCCAGACGTGCCTAATGAAAATTAGATAGCTACAAGTATTTTTTTCTGACATCTTAAAATTAACTGTATACTACACATATATAGATATATTTATTTATACACATATACATACATATATACTTTTGGAAACAGTGGTCTAGGCCAGCATTTCCGTTTGGAAATTATAGAATACAAAGTCCCTTAACAAAACAAAGTCACTTAACAAAAGTAAGTTGACAAAAGTAATTGGAGAACAGAATACATGTAGAACTTAGAACTCATACCTCTCTGGTTCCCAACCATGTATGGTTTCTTTTTCATAATTCTGGAGCTTCAGGGCAAACTCTCAACTGTATTAGATCTTTGTAATGCTTATAATCTGAAGACAAGTCATATGTATAACTGAAGCAAAAAATCACAATGCATTGATGTGTTCAAGAGATAATTTTGGGTGGGTGTGGCATCTCATGCCTATAATCTCAGTACTTTGGGAGGGTGAGGCAGGTGAATCACTTGAGTTCAGGAGTTTGAGACCACCCTGACCAACATGGCAAAACCCTGTCTCTACTAAAATTATAAAAATTAGCCGGGCATATCGGTGGATGCCTGTAATCCCAGATACTCAGGAGGTGCCAGTCAGTTGGTGGTACCTTTGTGTTACAGGGGGCAGGTGGGCTGAGGAGGAGGCAGCAGCAGTGGGCCTGAGGCGAAGGAGCACCCAGGAGCCTGCCTCACTGGTAGCAATATTAATAAGGCAGCGGAAAGAAGAAATATGAATATGGCTCCATCAATACCCAGCCCCACACGAAGCCGTGAGTTACCTTGGGAGAGTTGGGCTCTGGGGAGTTAAGCCGAGCTTCCTACACCAAAGGTGTTTCCTTCCCCCCAACGAGTGAAATACTCAAGCAAACGATAAGAACATGAACCTGTGTGAAGGGCCTTGCTGCTTTTTTACAACATACATCAGGAGATACAGAGGAAGCTTTGTGTTTTCAGTGGCAAATACGGCAAGTTCAGCTTGCAGTCTGAGTTGCAGGTGATTGGAAGAGGATAAACTCTGTCGGTCCCCGGCTCTTGTGTTGATGGGAGCCTCCAGCGCAGAAGGAGTGCCCCAGAGTCGTTGGTGTGTGCCATGGGGCACTGCAGTGGGCAGCGGAGATTCGGCTCTTCATTCCAAATGCCTGCCGGTCCAGATGTTAACCCAGGTTTACGGGAAGTGCTGCTTGAGAGATCGCTGTCCCTGTCCTGTGGACCCCCAGTTTGCTCACATACTTGGGTTATCTGTTTGAGGGGAAATAAAAAGGGCAAAACACTCCACCTCTCGAAAGTCTCCCTTTTCTTAGCTTTCACGGAAATCAAGGGTGTTTTCCCAATATATTCTTCCTTCCAGTGTATACAAAAGAGATAATCCTGGTGTGTTCCCTCACGATACACATTAAATTGGTCCCTCCTCTCAAAGAAGAGCTTTATTAACATCACCATTTACACCAAAAATAACGATATTGTATTCAAACATTCTGGCCCCATAACAGCACACAAGTGGAAGCAGTTTTGTGTAGAGTGCAGGCAGATGTGATATATTCCATACAAATGATATATTTCATATCTAGTGTCTCTTCAAGGCCCAAGTGGATTAATGGATTTCACCTTGCCTCAAAGTAAAAAAGCCAGTTTTCCCCAGAAGCATACCTGAACTACCCCAGTGGACTGCGTTTCCTACAGTGAACTGGACAGTCCCGTGTATACTGAATCCTCGTCTGTCCTGGTAACTCCACTTGGGAACCCAACTAACTGAGCATTGTGCATAACAGAGCTGTCCTGCTTTTGCACAAAAATACCTATATTTTGTTCCCTACTTATAGGAAAGAATGGCCACTATATGTTTCATGGGTCCTTATGGCTTTGGAGACAGTCGAGATTCAAGGTGGGATCTATCCCCAATTCGGGGGAGTCCAAGGAGAAAGCCCAGGGATGGCAGAAATGGCCAGGATGCCGGGACAGCAGACATTCGAGACCCCGAGACTTGCGGGTTCACAGAGACACCAGGAGTATGCGCGGTGTTTGGGACATGAGGGATCTCAGGGACCTCGTGATCTAAGAGACCCTAGGAATCTTCTAGGTCAGTGAGACCCCATGTACGACAGACACAGAGACACGAGAGACTCCTGAGATCCTGTATACAGGAGGGAAGACTCTTAGGACTGATGCCTGCAGGATGAGTCTTATTTTGACTGTTACAGAGATAGTTTGATGGACGAGGCGCTCCAGGCCCTGAAAGTCAGTCTTGTGCAAAAGAGCGTTTGAAACATGAGGAACGGCCTAGAGAAGAGCTTTATCGTCAATATTTTGAGGAGATTCAGAGACGCTTTGATGCCGAAAGGCCTGTCGATTGTTCTGTGATTGTGGTCAACAGACAAAAGACTATGCTGAGTGTGTGGGGCAGAAGCTGTGAGACCCGGTGTGGTAGTGGACTTGATCCTCCTCAACAGAGGTGTCGTCGTCACAAGCCTTGGAGGATGTTAGCAGGGGACGTTCCCTTTTTCTATTGTCATCATCCAGCAACCCCAGATTCACTGCACCCGTGCAGCCAACATCATGTTTGGAAACCCGCAAGAGCATCGCGACCTGCGCCTGGCAGACGCCATGGTGCTGGTGGCCAGAAGTTATGAGCGTTACAAGAATGAGCACTGGGAGAAGGAACGTGAGGAGATTGCCAGAATGGCAGCCAGGATGAAGCCATCCTGCAAGAAAGAGAGAGAGGAGGCCCTGGGGAGGGAGTGTGCGGGGCCTGCTGGCAGACAGCAGGTGCCTCACTGCCGAAGAGACTGACGAGATCATCACCCACCTGCAAGAGTAGAAGGTGTGGCTGATGGGGAGCAGCACAGACTCTCTGCCTGGCCCGATTTCCTGCCAACCACTCGGGCGACCTCCGGTGCCTCGCTGAAGACACGGCCAAGCTCCCAAAAGCTCCAGAGAGGCCACGTGCTCCCCTCTGCTACACCCACTCCATCTGCATCCCCCACCTCCCAGCAAGAGTTTCAGGCCAAAATCCTCAGGCTCTTCAGTAGTGGTACAGGGTGGCCACATCCCCCTCAGATGCTGCCAGAAACACCCCGACCAGAATTTTTCCACAGCAGCAATCAGCCAGCCTCCGCAAAGATCACGGGCCTTTGGCAATCAGCCTCCAAGCATTTTAGGGCAGGGAGGACCTGCTCAGAACATGGGCCCCAGACCTGGGGCTCCTTCCCAAGGGCTTTTTGGCCAACCTTCCAGTTGCCTGGCACCTGTTGGCACCATGGCTAGCCAGTGGCCTGTGTCTTCCACAGGTGTCAACTTTGACAATCCAAGTGTACAGAAGGCTCTGGATACCCTGATCCAGAGTGGCCCTGCTCTCTCCCACCTGGTTAGCCAGACCACAGCACAGATGGGGCAGCCACAGGCCCCCATGGGATCTTACAGAGGCATTACTGAGGCTAAACCTTGCAGCTATCCCCGGTCCCCTCATCCCCTGGCCTCCTCCCACTTACTGCGTTCTAAATAGAGTTGTTTGGAGGATATTCTTTGCCTTCTCCAGGTCTGCATCAAGTGTCATCAGTTTCTACCACCTGCTCTCTCTCCTGCCCAAGGCTGTGTTGCTTATTCCTTACCAAGTTTATGCTGCATTTGGGGCTGTATTTTATTTTGTTTTTTGGATTTTTGTAGGAAATAAGTATCTCCGGGGTCACTTGGGCAGTACAGGTGTCTGGGCCTATGTCTGATGGGGTTTCTCCGGTCCCTCTGTCTACCGGATTTGGAGCCAGGCCCAGCTGGCCACGTTTGGAATGGCATCTGTCATGTCGGTAGCTACTTCCTTTGTTCACTGTGAACCTACCAAGGCTTTCCAGCTTCAAACACGTCAACCAGAGCTCAAGCTTCCAGCTCCTGCCTGGAGTTAAAGAAAAGTCGGCGGGCCTCAGCAGGCAGAGTGTCATCATCCCCCAGCCCCACATGTCTGGGGGCTGCTTGAGGATCCATAAATTAGCTACTCTGGATTGTTGAGGAATGGCCATGGCAGCCGCAGAAGAAAGAAGTTTTCTGTCTGTGCCAAGGTTGTTATTCGTTTCTTTCTCTTTTATTTTTCATTTTCATTTCATTGGAAGATCTCCAATGGACAGAACCGCTCCAGCCAGCAGCAGGTTAGCTCACACTGTGAATCCGGGCCCCACACTCTTCCCCCTGCCGGTTCTGTCAGCAGCCCCCTCCAGCAGCACTTCCGTGGAGTCGATTCTGAGACTCTGGCCGGGAACACTCATTTCTTCGGTGATTTGCTTTGAGCTTTTGGCTCAAAATCCCAGGCTCTTGTTTTCGTCTAGACTCTTGTTCTGTTTCCCGAGCAGCAGGAGGTAGGGACCACTTTGATGTCGACTTCTGGTAGCTGGACATGTTCTTGAGATAGGTGACTGTTCACGATGTTTGCAGCAGAGTGAAACTGTTGGAGGGAGGGCTTCTGGCTGTGGTTCTAAGAGGAGCCCCAGGGAGCTGCCCTCTCCCCAGGGGCTGTGCTCAGTGCATCCCTGTGGATCACAGTCTCGAGATCCTCTAGCAGGGGAGAGGGAGAGCAGTGACTTCAGCCGAGTCCCTGACAGTGGCAGAGAAAACAATGGTTTCAAAAGTCAAGGTCCCCGAATGGCAGCATTTTATGTTCTGACCTGTTTGTGGTATATAGTGTTTTTTTTTTTTGCTCTTTGGAACTCTTGTGTTATTAATAAAATGAAATGATTGGAGTTCAAGACCAGACTGGCCAATGGTGAAACCCTGTCTTTACTAAAAAATTCAAAAATTAGCTGGACGTGATAGCTCCTGCCTGTAATCCCAGCTGCTTGGGAGGCTGAGGCAGGAGAATTGCTTGAACTGGACCCGGGAGGCAGAGATTGCAGTGAGCCAAGATGGTGCCACTCCACTTCAGCCTGGGCCACAGAGTGAGACTCTGTGTCAAAAAAATGAATAAATAAAAATAAAATGAAATGATTACTTTTTGATTAAAATGAAAAAAGTAAAAAGAAAAAAAAAAGATCTCTTGAATCTGAGAGGTGGTTGTGCTGAGTGAAATGAACCAGGCACGGAAACACAAATACTTCGTGAGCTTACTCCCACGTGGGATCATAAATGGTCAGACTCATTCATAGCAGCAGAGAGTAGAATGGCAGCTACCGGGACCTAAGTAGAGTTGTGTATGTGGAAGAGATTGGTCAAAGGATACAAAGTTTTCGTTGGGAGAAGTAACTTCGGGAGAGGATCTATTGTACAACGTGATGACTATAGGTAGTTGCATTGTATTGTATACTTGAAAATTGCTATAAAAGCACATTTTTAATGTCCCCCCCCAAAAAAAATTGATACATATGTGAGATAACACATTTGTTTGGTAACCTGATAAAGCCATTTCAGAATATGTACATATATCAAAGCATCATATAGTACACCACAAATACGTATAATTTTTACTTGTCAGTTAAAATAAATTTAAAAAATTTAAAAGGAGACAACTTCATGTTCATTTATATGGAGGGAGAAATCTATGTGCTTCTATAAAAGTGGTACAATATAAAATCTAGAGCAAGATAGATTTTGTCTGGTCCAGAATCAATTTTTCGTGGCGTCTCAGAGCCCTACACTGAGGGTGGCAGGGTTAAAGGGCTGAGTAGAGCAGCCAAAAGGGAATGCTGGGGAATGGGGGCAGGAAGTATTTTTACCTCTTTTTTCAAAATTAAAATACCTTGATTGGCTTCTCTGGCTAAAAAGGCAATATATAGTTATCATAAAAATGCTTATGGAATAATGTAAACATTATAGTCAACGTTGTCAAAATGCCTGCTCCTCATTAACACGGAGAGTCTATCATTCTGGACTGGTATGTGTGTAGACATTTGCACACTAACTAAAATTTCACATAGGCAATACGTGCAAAACTTTCTATAGCTAGAATCAATTTTGTTTAATAGTATTCTATGAATAATATTTTATTTATAGTATATTGTGAAGATCATGTAAATAATATTGGTAATACACATATACATATATATTTAAGTACATGGATATCCTCATCCTTTTAATGACTACATAAAATCCCACCATGTTCATGCACCATAACTAATTAACCCTTCATTTCTTTGTAGATATTTCATAATTTACTGTTTATAAACAGAACTATGATGAGTTTGCATTCTTGTGCTCTTGTCTGTTTAGTTTCTTAGAATAAATTCTTAAAAATGGAATATTGGGTCAAAAGATGTTCAAAATTTATAATGACATTTGCAAGTTTGACTTTCAATTTATATCAGTAATGAAATTTACTAACTCTTGCCAACACAATTGATCCAAGTTGATATCTTTAATTTGCACTTACTTGATTACTAATGAGGCTTACCACATTTCTGCATTTATCTGCTATTGCCTCACTTTCCCTTCCTCAGTGGGGCTCCTTCTTCATCCCTTAACAGGCTGCTTGTCTTTGCTTAAACCCCGAAGACTGGAATCCCCGAGCATGCCATTTCAAATCACTTTGTTCTCCTATTGCCCCCTCCTTAATGATCTCATCTGGTCCCACAGTTTCAATAGTCACGTGCTGGTAACTCCCGGATTTACGGCTCCAGCCTTGACCTCTCTGCTGAATTTCAGTGCCTACCTGAAACTTCGACACTGGAACTAACATCCTATGCCACATAGGTTTAGCAATTAGTTATTTTTCATGAATTTGGTTCTGTATAAACTGAACCTAAGATCTCCTCTCAGTTCAGCATTTTTGTCTATTATGTTTTTGAGTATTCTTTCCTACAGATTCTGCTCTCTTCTTCCAGGATTCTCATTATTCTTCACAGGGCTGCCATCATTTTTCTTCCATATCTATGATCGCTGTGATTTTTATATCTGTGTTCTTTAAATTTGAGTTTCAGCCTATTCTCCACATTGCTGATGTACTTCTCTGCAACGGTAATTCTGTTCTTTACAGGTTCCTACAATGTGAGTTCATGAGCGTTCTGTTTCTTTCACATGAGAGCTCTCTTTTTATTTGAGTCTGCTTTCTTCGCTCCATTGTCTTTTCACCTTCATTGTGCGGAGCCAACAGCAGGTGCTCATGGAGGATAAGGAGATAAATGACTATGGGCAGCGGCTTCCTGGAGCCAGGTGTCCCACTGACAGGCCAGCTCTACAGCCCCTCCTTCCTGCTCCCGGATGACTCAGGTGCCCTTCCCTGTTCCAGCCATTCCAGGAGAATCATGATCAACGTGCTTATCATACTCTGACTTACCTGTTTTTCTCTTTTTCAACTCGGAATTTTGAGAGGACAAAAACTTTCCGTTGTTCGACATGTATTCTCAGAAACTAGTACAGAAGACTGGCACAAAGTGGGCCTTTTAGAAATATTTACTAATTTAATGAATCACGGCATGAGGATGTAGTTCTTACTATGCAAATTGTTGACCTTTGCTACACAGAATGTCAAGGTCAAGGACATCTGAATCAATAAAGAAAATATTATATGTATTTGTGTGTGCATGTATATATATATACACATATATATATGTGTGTGCACACACACACACACAAGTGAACTGTTATTCAGCCTTAAAAGAGAAGGAAATCCTACTATTCATGACAAGATAAACTGACCCAGAAGATATTATGTTAAGTGAAATAAGCCAGTCACGGAAGAACAAATACTGCCTGACTCCACTCATACGAAGAATCTAAAACAGTCAAATTCACGGAACCAGAGAATAGAATGGTGGTTGCTAGGGGTTGTGGGGAGGAAGAAATGGGGATTTGCTGCTCAGTGGGTGTGACATTTCAATTATTCAAGACAAATAATCTCTAGAGATGTGCTGTACAGAACAGTATCTGTGGTTAAGCATCAGCATTGCAACTTTAAAATATTGTAGATGATGGGTCTCATGTTAAGTGCTCTTACCACACAGAAAACAGAGCAAAAACGAAACCACAAAAGAGCACAAGAAAACTTGTGGAAGTGACGGGTATGTTTCGTGGTACTTGGCTGTGGCATCATGAGTATAGGCATATGTCCAAGCTCATCAAAATATATACATCAGGTGCATTTTTATATATACAAATATCAACTATATCTCAAATCTTAAAAATTCTAAAAGATTTAAAAAGGAACTATATTTGAAGGCATACTTGTTTAAGTGTGAATTTCCTCACATGATGAACTGCTAGTCATATGTCTGCCTCTGTTTTTATTAAAGGGTTATTTACTCTACTGGAGAGAGAGAGGGAGAGAGAGAGAGAGAGAGAGAGAGAGAGAGAGAGAGAGAGAGAGAGAGACAAGCCACTGAAAATACCAGAGATGCTCAGTTCTACTAGAAGTGAGCATGATACGTAACACATTATTAATGTAGCTTATTTCATAAATTTGTTTATGAGAACTGGGTTTAAATTTCAGGCTTTCATAAGTAGTAAAACAGCCTATGTAGATTCGGTAATGGTACAATTCCCTTTTAAATGATACACAAAGCAGAACTCATTGGAATACAAGCATGTCTTCCGCTGAAAGCCCAGAGCCCCTTTCAGTGGACGGTTATATGGAGACCCCCATGCCTGTGAATCAGAGCCTCAGTAAAGGCTCACGTCTGTCCGATCGTCCTGCTAAGAAGTTCACTGAGTTGGGAAAATTACATTCTTAGCAAAGAAGAGCACAAGAAACCTCATATCGTTGGTGTTGAGGTTGGAGTACGTATCAAGGACAGTACCTACCATGGCTTCTGAAGTTTTGGCAAAACCTCAGATGCGTGGCCTTCTGGCCAGGCATCTGTGAATTCATATGGTTGGAGCATTCCTGGTATCCCTGGGGGTTGCAGCTCTCTATAAGTTTGCTGTGGCTGAACCAAGAAAGAAGGCATATGCAGATTTCTACAAAAATTACAGTCCTGAGAAAGATTTTGAGGAGATGAAGAAGGCTGGTATCTTTCGTAGTATAAAGTGATCTTGGAATAGAAAGAATTTCTTCAGGTTGAATTACCTAGAAGTTTGTCACTGACTAGGGTTCCTGAACTATGACACATGAATATGTGGGCTAAGAATTAGTTTCTCTTGATAAATAAAAGTTAACAAATACAAAAAAAAAAAAAAAAGAAAACTCATATTGAAGTTTGATTTGTCAGTGGCATTTATTTTAAATTTTTGACAAATCTAGGCTTTTCTGAGGGAATCTTTGAAACTCAAATAGATAAGATGTTAAAAATCAGTCTCTTATTTGTTTTTCTGCTGCTCAGCTTGTAAACTCAGCTTTACTATTTAAATGCTGTTATCCTTTCATTTGCATAAGAAAACTATTACGATAAAAATAATTCAGATTATTACGGTGTTTAATGAAAATAAATATAACTATGTTAAAACCAGCAGTTGTTCTCTTTGTGCTTTAGCTCTCGCAAAATCGACTGTGGGAGCCTTTTCTGATGGCTCCAGTTTGCATCTGGTGTTCCTCCTGTGTGAATTCCCTACTTCTTCCCTTGACGCCAGTATTTTAACTACGTATTTACTCATTGATCTAAATAGACTGTGACATATTGGAGGTAAAGAGTCTTAACTATTTTTCTTTTTCTTGAGACGGAGTTTCACTCTTGTCACCCAGCCTGGGGTGCAGTGGCACGAGCTCGGCTCACTGCAACTTCCGCATCCTCTACCTCCCAGGTTCAAGTAATTCTCCTGCCTCAGTCTCTCGAGTAACTGGGAGTACAGGCACCCACCACCATGCCTGGGTAATTTTTGTATTTTTAGTAGAGATGGGGTTTCACCATGTTGGTCAGGCCGGTCTCAAACTCTTGACCTCAGGTGATCTGGCCACCTTTGCCTCTCAAAGTGCTGGGATCACAGGCATGAGCCACCAAGCCCAGCCAAGTCTTACCTATTTATCTTGGTGCCTTCTGTCAGTTCTGGAAAATTCTCAGCCATTATCCTTTTAAATACTGCTGCTAACTCATTCTTTCCATTTTGTCTGGAAACGCAATGAAAATAAATGTAAGTTGTGACTATCTATGTACATGTAAGAATCTACACACGTGCACATGCACATACACATAGATAGTGTTTTCACCAGGAGGGTTTGTCTGAAGTATTTGGTCTGTCTTTACCAGAAGCTGAACTCTGTAGCTAACATTAGAGATGGAAATCAATTGACTGAGAGAATAAACACACTCCCTCCTTTATTTTAAGTGTACTACAAATCTAAGTAAAACAAGGAATTCCTAATATAGAAAATATTCTTTCTCATATACATTATCTCACTGTGTTAATTTATCTTATTTAAGTAATATGCGATGTCTAATAGATTGCCACCTTCTCTTCCTCCTTCTTCTCCCTCAGAGTTAGCCAGTGAAATTACTGTTTACATGGCCACCATGCTTCCCGCGAAGCTCAATGTCACAATGAATCATGTTATTGTCCCTGTGGCATTAGTCATCAATTTGATTTCTTGGATGTTTTATTAGCGATATGCCATACCGAGTAACCTAAGGAGCTGTTTCAGTACGAGACTTGTAACGGGAGCTCCCCTTCAGTTTTCCAGTAGACATGGCAAAAAATGGGGGCTACTCTCAAATGTTAAGGTGAAGAGAGACCCTGGACCTAGAGAAGCGAGTGAGTCCTGGGGCAGAGGCCTCCAAGAAGGTGGGTCACATCCCTGGTGCCCAGGGCTCCCTTCGGTTATGTGGAGAACCCCCTGCTAGAAAATGAAAGCCTCAGTCGAAGGCTGATCCGGGGGGCAGTGCGCATTCTTTCTGGTCTTAGTCTTATCACCAGGTGAAAAAGGAGAAACTATTTTTTTTCCCCCTGAGAACTGCCAACCATAAACCAGCCCACACGATTTGGGACACGAGTTCACATTACTTGAATGGCTCCAATATCCCTGAGATGATAATTTAGTGTAAAGTGTTTATGTGTAGGTGCTGTTTATTAGGGCCCAATAAAGAAAATGGACATATATATATATATATATCATGTGTCAGACTAATGATTAAGATCTAGAATACACACATTCCTAAAAATCAGTAAGAATGGAAATAGAGGAGAAGGGAGACTACAGTACAAAAGGCATTTTATCTAAGAGATCACATTCATGGCCAATAAACCACCAAAAAATGCTTAACCTCATTAGAAATCAGAAAAATGCAAGTTGCAACAGCAGTAAGGTGCATTTCACATCCTCCGCACTGGCTAAAATTAAAGTTTGAATACCCCAAGTGTGGTCATCCATGAGGAACAATGAGAAGTGTTACACACTCCCGTCGGGAGCCTGAATTGGAACAGACATCGGGGAAACAATTTGTTCTTAACTAGCGAAGTCGAACATAAGCCTAACTTAGAGCAGGAAATTTTCTCTTCAGGTCCATGACCCAGATACATTCTTGCACACATACACTGGGAAATATGAGCAAGGCTACTAATGGCATCTTTGTAACAGCAAGTAACTGTTAGCAACCTAAGTATCTTTGTATAGTTGAATGGACAGACTATGGTATATTCACAAAATGCATATACCATATAAATGTGTACCCACAGACAATACATATTTAATGAGACCTGAAAGGGCACACACACAGGACTTCAATGTTCTTGGTAGTTCTCTATGTTATAGGGAATGTCATGAGTAGATGCATATTGGTATTAAGTTGGTTTTGGGATTTGCCAAGTCGGAAAGACTTGTGATAATAGTATTTTCTCAACTAAAACATAGATAAAATAAAAGTACTAGCACAATTTTATACTGCTTTGCTCTGGAAAACATTAGAAGAAATAAACATTCTAAATTAATTGTCTAAGAAAAGATTTTGATGTGAAAACCTATGCGACTCAAATTTACCAAAGGATTTTGAATCATGCTGCATTTAAATTGCCTATTCTTTAAAAATGTACGAACAAATTAAATTAAACAGAAAATCCGACAGGAGTTGATTATGAGCGGACACAGGAAGTTACCCTCAGGACAAGGCAGCACTTGCTGGCCTCAGTGTCTGATAGGGTGGCTCAGTGAGGTAGTTCCGGGTTCCAGTGCTTTTTATCAGGCATACCAGATGCAGGTGTTCTGCAGCCACCGTTTGAGAAGCTTTGGGTTGAAGTTGAAGTGCGTAGTTTGCAAGATGGAAAACAAAAGGTGGAGAAACAAAAACGAACACAAATGAAATCCTGAGATTTGTTGGCAAACATGGGATTGTACGGGTTTCTGGGAAAAAATGCAATAAAATTAACAGATAAATTAGTTCTCCATAAATAAAGAACACGTAATTGTTGGGGAAATATTTAGAAATGTTTTCTTTGGCTGCATTCTGTGCACAGCTGTTAATGGGAAACACCTCTATCTTTTTTTTTTTTTTTTGATATAAAAAGAGCCTCAAATTGAAGAATTGAAGAATCTGTGCTCTACTATTAAATTACTCCTGTGTAGAATGAAAACTTTGATTAATGTATTCAATTTAAATTGCTTAGATAGCACGGAAAATTAAAGGGAGTGCCCTGAAAGCTAAAAGATCAACGGCAGAATGTCATGGGTTCAGCAGCTTTGCACACAGTATACTACGGGCTATAGGCACTTTCAACGTTAGCTGATTAATGAAGAGTTCAGATGGCGGCAGCGATTGTAAAGCGTAGAAAGAGAAGGCTCCTGAAAAAGATTATTCTGAATATAGAGGAAATGTGAGATAAAAATGTGATAACGAAGGACCGGGCGCGGTGGCTCACGCCTGTAATTTGCGCACTTTGGGAGGCCGAGGCGGGTGGATCACGAGGTCAGGAGATCGAGACCATCCTGGTCAACATGGTGAAACCCCGTCTTTACTAAAAATACAAAAAATTAGCTGGGCATGGTGGCGCGTGCCTGTAATCCCAGCTACTCAGGAGGCTGAGGCAGGAGAATTGCCTGAACCCAGAGGCGGAGGTTGCCGTGAGCCGAGATTAGGCCATTGCACTCCAGCCTGGGTAACAAGAGCGAAACTCCATCTCAACAAAACAAAACAAAACAAAAAAATGTGATAACGAAAATGTGGAATCTACCCAGGTTTTCAGATTCCAGAGTTTCTCCTCATGGCCAAATAGATTGTGTTGAAACAGGAAACAGAACCTGGAAGTTATATTTTGTTTCTGTATCTCGATATGTTTCTGGATTGATTGGATACATTTGATAACAGCTGATCAGGTGGGTGCCCCTGCTGTGCTGAGAGCAACGGCTGATGGTGTAAGTCCAGTCCTGGGAGGGTGATAATTCACGCTGATTCCTTAAGTCAGTGATTCCATTAAATCTCCCTGTCAACGGAATAGCATAGGTACTGTTATTACATCCATGGGGAGACTGAGGCACCTGACTTAAATACCTCGCCAATGTCCCATGATTAATAAAATGCAGGATTGAAATTCTTATCCAACTACACCCTAATAACTGCTACAATCTTTCAAACAGAGTCGTTGGCTAAAGGAAGCATGTTCGTTGATTGTGACCTGAAAGTTCTAGTGAATGCTGTAAGATTTATTTGCATAGACATGTACTTGAATTTAAAATAAGTTTTTTCCCTCTACCACATGGCCAAAGTTTATTACTGAAACCTCTGCCACTATTCTCATGAAATTGTTACCCTAAATCTCCCGGGGCTCTGATGTGGAAGAGTCCTTTCCACTTCCACTCTCAGTTCCAGAATTCCGTCACTATAGAGGCAGAAGAGTCGATGCCAGTTAGCACACAAGTCATTCTGAAGCCAGTCTAAAAGCCAGTCTTTCTTCATCCAGCTTACTACAGGAGACAAATGGATAAAACAACAGGAGGTGCCTCCACAACTTATCGGATGCATTATGCAGATAGGCCGTTCTGTATTTGAAAAATTTGGAAAAAATAGCCAAAATCAGTTGTTTTAGAAGTTAGCCTGGATGAAAAACATTTATTTTTTTAGTATTGTAAAAGATTTAAATAAGCAATTTTTAATTAATACAAAATAACTTTTAGTGTACTAAACAAAAATAACTTGATTAATGGCTGGGGTGGGGCTCAGACATCAAGAGTTTAAAAATTCCCTTGGGTGAATCTCATGAGCAATCAGGGCTGAGAACCACCGGCTTCAAGATTTCCCATCCAAGAGCCATTGGATTAATTATAAA